ATCTTTTGTTTCTTACCCAACTTACAGTGACTGTAGCTCGAAGGACGTGCATTTTAGGCCACATCATTACATGAAGAAAAAGTTTTATCTTGATCCCAACAATACGTATACAGGGTGTTTCAAAACAACCTAATCCCCTTGCTAGGGTAGGTAGAACATTGCAAAATAAGTTTGGTTTGCTCAGTAAAAAAATGTCGTAACGCCATCCGTTTTCAAGATACAAGGTGTTGAAACAATATTTTTTTTTACACATTTTTTACGATTATGTTGAAACTACTGGCAACATTGTGATGAAATTTTGTATAATTGTTTCTTGGAATCTGACACATCGCATGCATTTGTTTTTATATCTGACTCTCATAGGGGGCGCTAGTTACACGGTTCGTACCGAGTAGTTTTGAACATAACTTTTTTGAGGTTACATTTTTCAGTCCTAATTTGATGTGAACTTCAACACCATTAAATTTCACACCAAAAAGGTACTTTTGGTAAAACTCGACACAGTGTTCCGTTTTCGGAATATTTCGATTTGAAAATGATGAAGTGGTAACTGTTGCTGGTATAAAGCTATGTATTAGAGTGAGTATTATGAAAAATTATCACCTATTTATTGAAGACCGGAAACAACAATACATTTCTGATGCAAAACTCATTGATTTAACAATGAATCACAAGAATGACATCGAAACAGATTTGACTAAGAACATGGATTACACAGTTTTGTTGTATCTTGAGCAGAAAGTCTATGATACATAGGTAAATTCACGTCAAGAGTTGTGAGACATAATTGAACATCACTTAAATGACCTAAGAGCTGATCCCCAACTGTTCAGAAGAATAATTCATTCTTAAAAAAAGAATATAGAATCGTGTATTCCTCGAAACGTAGGACATTTTGAACACTTACTCTAACTGATTCAATATTTCATGTTTCTAGTCAAATGTCTCTCAATTTTCTACTTATGATTCTTTGTTCCATCAATAACTTCAGCACAAGAATAATTTTATCGTTTTTGAACCTGAATAAATAGGTAATTGAACTCAATAAAATTCATTTTATACCAGCAGCATTACTACTCCATTATTTTCAAATCGAAATATTCAGAAAACGGAACATAGTATCAAGTTTCACAAGGAGTGCCTTTTTGGTGTGAAATTGAATGATGTTCAAGTTCATATCATATTTGGATTGAAAAATCTAACCTCAAAAAAGTTATGTTCAAAACTACTCGATACGAATCCGTGTAACTAGCGCCCTCTATGAGAGTCAGATATAAAAACAAATTCATGCGATGTGTCAGATTTCAAGAAACATCCATAGAAAATTTCATTACAATGTTGCCCGTAGTTTCGGAATAATCGTGAAGAATTTGTAGAAAAATAATTTCTTCAACACCTTGTATCATGAAAACGGATGCCGTTGCGACATTTTTTTACTGGAGAAACCCAACTTATTTTGCAATGTTCTACCTACCCTAGCAAGGGGGTTAGGTTTTTTGATACACCCTGTATGTATGTAGATATTTACATCGAATTTTGAATCAGCTTGTAAATTGGATAGGTCGTTTTTTCTCATTTTCTCCATCTCCCCAAAAGTAGTCGCTTGATTTCAACAAAAAAATGCAACAGTTTGAATTTTTCTATTCTTCAGTTACTGAATTAGTTGAATTTTGTTTTCGTTATTTTGTTTTTTTTTGTTCCTGTTTCAATGTTTGTACCTGTTGATATGTGATATTATTTGAATATTGAATATTGGACCTAGACCCCCCCCCACGGATGAATCTTAATTACGCCACTGGTTCGAAAGATCTCGTCAATACAAACATACAAACATACATACCAACCTAATGAAAGCGTAGAAAATTTGAAGTTTCAGGTTTGTTTTGCATGAATAAGTTATTCGAATGGAGCAATGTTGTCGTATCCATAAAATGCAGACGCAGATGAGAAACCTATCAGAGGGAAACTGTAAACAATGTAGTTGAGGATGAAATAAGAAAGGATTTGTGAGACGGTATAAGTATATAAAAGGTCCGGCTCTGGGTCCACCTCCATTTTCATTCGGCCAATAAAAATCTTAACGTCTCACGAAATGAAGACGAATGGAGAAAATAGGACGGCAGGGAATCATTTATTTCCGAATAGTGGTCTTTTTAACATTAATTTACGGGACAAGAAATACAATCGGAGAAAAAATTCTGCCATTCACTTGGTTTCAAAAAATTGTTTTTTGTTTCTGTGACGGGAAAAAAGTTTGGCATTTCATCTCTGTTGACAGGTTGTAGAATGAAGTGACATAAATTACTTTTTTCCCACGGGAAAAAAGGGAGTACCTTCTTCCCGTATATTTACAGGGTGTTCCCAGCGAGCACAAACATCCCTGGGATGTTTTGGGATGTTTTGAAAATGTTGGCATGAAGATGTTATTTTGAGACGTAATATATGCACTGACCAAAGAGGTCTTCGAAGGATATTGAAGTATTGTTTTTGTTCTTTTGTGCCCTTCCTTTGTTTGCCCCACCACAACGTCTCATGCTTACGTCACAATACGATGAATTCTGATTTCTTTTCGATTTTGTTCCTCTTGTTCGGAATTGGCATTCGCGTTTGCAGTGTGTCACGCTTACATCACGCTGCTAACGAACAGAAAGGAATTTGGTGAAGTTTATTGTGTTACAAGACTTATTTAGTTTGTAATAATGACCATCAGATGCAAGATGTGTTGTTCGGTGCCTCAGTGTAATCAATATATAAAAGTACGAATTCATCAATACACATCAGCTTCTCCGCAGTTGCAAAATTATGCATTGTGGAGAACATTTCAAAAATTGGGAAACCTATTTCCAATTATATGTCTGTGTGTAGTAAGCCCTACTCAGAAACCGATTAAGAAGGTAATTTCATATCAAGAAAATATTTTTATGTTCAATCTATTTTTAATGCATTTTTTCATTCAAGGGAAATGGAATCCTAATGCAAAAGTTCATTTTGACAAAAGGCTTCAGAAAAGTACCTCGAAAATGGTTTTTTACATCGATTTAATGTGCGCAAGACGCGTTGAAAATGTTCTGTTGTGTCCATGAAAAGGCTTTAAAAAGAACTAGGGAGAAGGTAGTTTTGTGACATATCAAGAACATCTCGATAATTGCCGCCTGCGACGGACATTGGCTGTTCTATAATAGTTCTATTCATGTGTGAAAAGAACATCGCAGTGGAGGTTCAATGTCTCGAAATCTCGTACTTTTAACATCTCTAAGATGTTTTTGTGCTCGCTGGGTTTCATTATTGAATACTGTTCGTAAGCGGCGATAATCCTTGGATGATTTCAGGGTGTCGTACTCAGAAGCGAACAGTTTTTTGCAAACAAAACATTCAATATCAGGTCTACTTGATCATCACTGGTAAAAGTAAAGGTTTGATTTTCGTCCCAGAACAAAATATGTGTTTCCACTTATAGTGGGTGTCTACTGAATTACCAAAAACAATCTCCATCAAGAACTGAAGGAACAGTTTTTATCTCTTCACGTGAAAACGGTACGTCGTATGAAAGTAAGTCTGAGAACCAAATTTACTCCAAAATAAATGGGATTAAAAAAACTTGGTTCTGAAAAAAATCAGTGGCGTACTATTTATCCTTCAAAAACTATCAGTTCAAACCGCGTACGGACGTCACTGGTGAAAATTTTCGAAAATCTTTCACGTCAAAAAATGCTCCCCAATTATGAAAAAGTGTATACAAAAGTTCATGATATTATCTAAGAGTGATGAAGAATTATGATGAAAAACTCATTTTTTTCTTGAAATTTCATCACCATGTAGCTCAAATAACTGAGAGGTTTAGGACATATGGGGATATGATTTTTTCTCCTTGAAATCATCCAAGGATTATCGCCTTTCAGAATAAGAATTCAATTATGAAACACCCTGTATATACACTGTTGATGGCTTTTGTTGTCTTTTTACCTTCTACTCCACGTCGAGGCTACGTAAATTGCTGAACAACCACTAAGTTAGCATTTTGTCAGAGTCAAATCACAGAATTATTAGCCTGACAGATATTTGATTACTTCAAAAGAATGAGAAAGATGCCTGCAAAGCAGGTGTAGTTACTGTTGAAAACTTGAAATTTTACGTCGATGATTTTCTGATTTTAATATAATGTAGTATCTTCTCAATATTGATTCGTACGAAAGCGCTGAACGGACAGCCAGCCAGTTTAAACTGGCAATTAGCTATAGTTGCCAGTTTGAACTGGCATTTAGCCATAATTGCCAGTTTGATCTGGCAATTAGCCATAATTGCCAGTTTGATCTGGCAATTAGCCATAATTGCCAGTTTGAACTGGCATTTAGCTATAATTGCCAGTTTGAACTGGCATTTAGCTATAATTGCCAGTTTGAACTGGCATTTAGCGCTTCCGTACAATCATGTATGCCCTAGATGCCTCAATAAAATATAATGACACATCAATATGTTATCAGCAACTCTGGACCCTGGCAGTAGTCCGTTTAATATTCTTGATTGTTTTATACTTAGTCAAACTGTTCAAAGGATAACTTATAATAAATCTCTTAATTTAAGTATTCATAGTATTTCGTATGTTCTAACTTTGGATGTTTTCAATATTGAATGGAATTCATTAATTTGTAATCTCTGCTCAAGCTCCAACTGTTCAACAAACAATCATGTAATGAATGATGAATGTAAAATCATTTATTTATGTCGGTCTTTCAACTCTTTCAGGCCAAATATCGATAGCACAGCCATCTAGCATCTGGAGGAAAAAGCTAAACGCAGTTACTAGTACAATGAAATATTGTGAACAGAAAACTGTTTGTAATCTCAACAGAATACTCTGGAGAAAAATATTCTGAAGATCAGAGTACCAAATTTACCCACTAGATGGTGTGGCACATAGAAACATTCAAGGTTGATAGAACTGATTGAACCTACAACCGTTGATTGATATATTACGCTTAGCGTAATATATCAATCAACGCTACAACCTAACCTAACCTTAAACAACATAAGAACATAACATATGATCGAGAATATGATTGAACTTTGGAACCAACAACGATAATGCGTTGGTAAATGGTAAAATATTATTTTTTAAGAAGTTATTCAAAATGTTGGTCCCGAGTATATTGACAAGATGTAAAATAAACTTGAAAATATTGAATAAAAACCCTTCAGCAATAATAGGTGGTGCAATCAGACGATACATTAATGATAATGGGGAGAGTGTAGCATTTGGGGAGATTGTGAAACAAGTGACGAAAGCTAAACGTCCCGAATATGTTCCTTTAAAATACTGTGAGTATGAAAAATCCAAATAGTCAATGATCCAAACATTCTCAATTCAATATTTTCGTACTCCTGCACTTCACACTTCACAGAAACTAGGATTTTCTGTTTCTGTTTTGTTTTTGACGATAGGTTAGGTTTTGATTGTTGAGTGTCTAATGTACCATATGCCGTTTTAATACTCATATTGGTACTAATGTGATCTATAGGATCTAGTACTCTCCCTAGTGGACTGGATTTATGCACTCAATGTATTTATTCGTACGTGAAAAAAGACAATATGGTGAAAAAAGGCAACAATCATCAGTAGTCCAGATACATATTATACAAAGTGTTTAAAAAAAGTGGGCCCGTTGCTAGGAAATGTACAACACTGCATAATAAGTGGAGTTTGCTTCATAGAAATCCTATTATATACCGAGTTTGCTCAAGAAACAATAAGGTGTTGAAAAAGAAATTGTATACACATTTTTCACGAATATGTCGAAACTACTGGCAACACTGTAATAAAATTCTTGGAATTCCGGCACATCGCAATTTTTTTATATCGGACATCGGACTCTCATAGAGGACGCCAATCACACGGTTCGTGTGGCGAAGTTTTATACAACTTTTTTTGAATTGAAAAAACTGTTCAGTTCAAATTTAACCTGTGTAAACTTGAACGTCATTCAAACTCGATATACTATGTACCTTCTTCGGAATATTTTGATTTGAAAATGATGAAGTAATAATACCTGGCTAAATATGCTCTGGTATAACGGGGCAACCTTTTTTTAAACACCTTGTATATTTGGGTGATCAGAGTACATGGTCATTCCTCAGGAAGATCAGTGCATGTCTAGGTATTAAATTAATAAAAACTCTTTTACCATCAATTATGGACTATGGCACAAGCTCGGGCACAAGAGACACAGTAATTTAGCAATTATATCCATAGAAAGTGACCTTATGGATTGAATTCCATCAGATGAGTTGAATAAAGATTTTGCCGAAAAAAGGCAAGAAAAGAGTGCTTCCAATAAGTTATTTCGTTCTTTTGTTTCCTGTTACATTTGTATAAAATTCGTATTGTTTTGTCAGTATTATTATTCGTTAATAGGTATAATAGGTATATATAGATCCTCTTTGATTCAAGACAGTACACTCTGCTTTATCATTTGAGCTTTCGGAAATACTCATTTCCACTATTTGCAAACATCAAATTACAATGATGATTTGAAATTATTGATTATACATTTGCAGCATATTTTGTTCGAATGTCCTATGTACAACGGTGTCAGGGTTGTTCAAAATTGTAGTTTTCTTCAGAATGTGCATGCGTTTTTCGAAGTCTTGGTTAATATCTTTCCATTCGCTGCTAGAACTATCGCTAATTACATATGGAATATTCTCAAATTAAGAGCATTTGCGAGAAACGAATAGCTATAATAGCTATCTTTTTATTTATTTTATGAGGTTCAACTCATTTTTTCCCCTTTTTTATATTATTATTCGTTTTTTTTTTCTTCTCGCCCTTTTCATAGTTACTAAGATTTCTCATTATATTTTGTATCCAAAGAATTTTTGGTATCCAAACTGTATTTTTGTTTTTTTTTTGTTTTTAATTAAGGCTCAAATCACGTACATTATAGTTATTTATGTAATAAGGATCATAAAGACGATCATTATGGTACAAGTCGTGAATGTTATCGGGCGAGGCGTAGCCGAGTCCGATAACACGGCGTGTGCCATAATGATTGTTTATGATTCGTATTACATACAAAATTTTATCTGATGGCATTTATATCAATACATTTTCGAAAAATTAAAAACTGCATTTTCGACATGTCACAATGACAACTATTTTTAAAGGAGTAAGTATTGTGTAGTTTCAAATATTAGTAGGTGAGTGAGCTGTGCTTTGTCATTATATTAATATTACAAATTGTAGTAATTGTTCTTTTACCATTTATAATAAATAGTTTTGTACATAGTTATGCATTTTGAATAAACTTTTTTGATCAAACCATCACATGTTTTCCTTATAGAATTTCATTATGGTACTTAGTACCATAATGAGCTTCCTTATGTCATCAAAATTGAGTGACATAACGTTGTCATTATGACATGCCATCAGATAAAAATATTTATGCAAATTGTAAATGTACCCGAATTCTTGCTATAGAACTGTAATGTTTCTGAAAGCAATAAAGTATCTATCTATATATCTATCTATTGATTATACATTGTACGGTATATAAAAATTAACATGTAATACATATTTTATTTCAAAATTAGATAAGTTATATATAGCGATTGTTTCAATTTTGTGTGTACCCCCTTATCTCTGATATATCAGTAACAAAACTAAATATTCAGTTATTAGCACGTATTTTACTTTTATTTATGTGTACCCACTCATGTATACACTTTTCCTAAATGCAGTGCCGGATTTAGGGGGGGGGGGGCTATGGGACTATCAGCCCCCGGCGGTGAATTTCAAGAGGCGGTAGAGAAAAAGAGAAAAGAGGAAAATCAAGCAGCAATACAGTCTTTGACTGGTTGAGATACTGTTTTTGTGAAAATCATAACATGCACTAATCTAGCGTCAGCTGTGTCTTGGCGTTACCATCGATAATCTCGATGGTAACGGTCTTGGACGCTACAATACAAAAGCGGCGGTGGTACATACTTTTATTTGATGATGAGAAGAAAAACCGCATTCTACTCGTCTAACTCAATAACAAAAAACAAAATCAGAGTGATTGTCCTTGGTATTGTTGGTAATGGTATTAATAATAAATAAATATTGAAACTTAAATTTAAAAAATGAGTAAAAAAGGTGGTGCATTCTGGAAACGGCAGAAGATTAATAAACAAAATTAGTTAGACGAAGTTGTCAAGAAATGCCCTAAAATATATTCATTTTTTCTAAATTCAATTGAGACAGAATCAGAACCGATAGAACCGTCTCCGGGAACACGATCTCAAGATAAGAATGGTAAGTTTTATATATTTTTAAATTCAATACGCGAAAAAGAAGAGTTAGAATCTCAAAAATAGATGATCAAAATATGAACACGACTAAGCGTTGTTTTAGGGATAATCACAACAAATTCATTGAATATTGGCAATTACTGAGAATTTTTTTACTATCCCTGATGATTCATAATGCCAGTATGGTTAAAGGTCATTCTCAACAGAGTGAAAAACTACCTTAGGAATTCCATGGTAAAGGATATATTGAATCTTTAAGTATTAACAGTGAGATGTTATTAAATCTGAATTTTGATGATGCCATTGACGACTTTGCATCAAAAAATCAAGAAAATTATTGTAGTCATCTGAAAAAAATAATGATTTCATGTTATTGTTATATACTGTGAAAAAAGCAGTGAAAGGATTATTCGACTTTGAAACTGACAATTGAAAATTAAATATTTGGCGGCGGCGTGGCGGCATCGTAAAAGTTAGCCCCCGGCGTAAGGGAGTATAAATCCGGCACTGCCTAAATGAAGAGGTAAGGGGTGTAAAATTATATTCTGCACACAGGCGGCCGCATGGCTTGACGCGCCCCTGTTCTACATAATATTCGAAATATTCGCGCCCATTATAGAAAAAAACCATTTACCTTCGATTCAAGATCGAGACGATCTGTGCCAAACCAACCTGCACCACCTGAGATGGATGATGCAAAAGGACGTTCTGGGGCAAGACGTCTTCCTGTTGGGTCCTCCGGGGCCGAAGAGGCGCCATCTGGCGATGCAGTATGCAGAACTGACCAATCGCGAACACGAGTACGTCGCGTTGAGCAGAGACACCACCGAATCGGACCTCAAACAGAGGAGGGAGATCGTCCGAGGCACTGCCAAATATTTCGATCAAGTAGGCGCATTTTTACAGGGGGATTCTCAATGTTATGTCACAGATTAGTGGTCGAACCCTAAAATTTTGCCCAAAATCCAGTGGCGTACTCAAATATTTTTTTCGGTGTTTGGTTCTGGAGATGCGACATAAACTTAAATATTTTTCATTTCGTAGTGGGCTTCTATGAGCATGATATACAGCGTGTCTCACTTTAAACGGCCCCCCCTCTATATCTCAGTTATTAGTCATGCGAATACAAACAAATTTGGTGTGGTATGAATAACCATCAATATGATCAGTCTTACAGAGATGCACATTATTTTGGACAGTGCCGTGCGTTTTTATTGAACCAAAAAGGGGTCGATTTTTTATAAAATCATATTAGGCATTTTTTTACAGGAAATCTAACCTCATATTATTGTTCCTCATGCTTTCGAACCCCCATATGCGAAAAATCACCTAATTCCGAATTAACAGGATTGGCTTCATTTTTTTCATTTTCAGTCTCGAATAATTAGTGACTTCAAATCAACTACGAATTTTGGAACGTTCATGAACGAATCATGAAGAACAATATTATTAGGTCAGTTTTCCTGTGAAAAAATGCCTAATGTGATTTAATAAAAAACTGACCCCTATTCATTCCAATAAAAATGCACGGCACTGTCTTAAATGGTGTTTCTCTTTGAAGAACTTGTCATATCGCACGACTGATAGCTGAGATATAGAGGTGGGCCGTTTGAAATGAGACACACTGTATAAATTGTGTATAATGAGGTTATGAGTTATTGATAGTTACAATTTAGAAGGAAAATTTCATTTTCTTATTTTTAGAGCGTTTGGATAAAACTTTTTTTTTACTTTTGATTTTTTTTTCTCTTTCAAGTTATCAATGGCTAGGTTTTGCCCTATGACTACCAGCTCGTCAAAAGTCAAAGTTAATAAATCGATGTTACAGGCTTAAAAATCGATTTTTCAAAAGTGCATTCTCATTCTCAGCGACCCTTTCATTTATAGGAAAGCGCAAAACCTTCAATAGTGCGTCATATTGGATTTAGAGTGATTTCTAATTATTCTCGGCAAGCCCTTTCATTTGATAGGTACCCATATTGTAGAAGTGCATTAAAAATAACTATTTCTTCATCTTCGATGGTCCGCCATATTGGATTTCGAATGACGTCACATCATTTTTCGAGTTACTCTCAACAAGCCCTTTCGTTTGATACCCATATTATAGAAGTGCATCAAAAATAACTATTCCGCCATCATGAATGGTCCGCCATGTTGGATTTAAAATAACGTCACACCCCTTATCGTGCATTGTCATCCAAACTAAATGTGTATACAACATTTCAGCTCAATCGGTTAAAGATATCTACAAAATTGAGTTCAGAAGATTCCACCCGAACTGCAACTTAAATAGCAGCTTTAAAAAATAATGTTCAGCACCTTCATCAGGTTAATTAACATTTCAGCAAATCATTATTTTGCGGATTATTATGTCATGAGCGATCTTATTATTCTTTTTATATTAGTTTTAGATGAATATACAGGGTGTTCCTTAATGATATGATATTCAAGGGGCCGATTCTTCGACCTATTTCAAGAATGAAACTTCATATGAACATATGTCGTAAACGTCCTAAATTTTGAGATACAGATAGTTGATGTGGAAAATAGACAGACTATTTTTTGTACGTACGTATAGCTTTTCGTGATGGCAAAATTCAGTTTGCTATGTGACTGAATCGGTATACAATTTTTGGAATGTTACATACGGTGGTTATCCTGAATGGAGTACTCAAACATGAAAATTTAAATTCTGGTCTCGCTTTTCCATTTTTTCTCGAAAACGAAGCGTTCTATCGAGTATCAACAGGAGAATCTTTTTTGTACATAATCAAATAGCCTTTTATAGCATTGTAGGGAATTCGAAAATGTTTCGTCGTTGCTCAATTTTAAGTAAAATATAAACAATAACTTTCCCGTAACGGTGCCACTGGTAGAGAAAATGAAAAATTTTGTACATCAGAAAATGCAACTTGATGCATAAAAGACGTGTACCAAATTTCGAAGAGATGTATACAATATTGTCTCAGTTATCATCAAAAAACTGAATATTTTTCAAAACTGCATCACCCTGTGTCTCAAAAGTTAAGCCTTTCAGGACATACGTTCATATGAAGTTTTCTTATTAAAATGAGTCAGAGAATCGCCCCCTCAAATATTAGCATGTCTTTAAGGAACACCCTGTATATTTCAGAGCGCCGTTAGAGCAGCCACAGAAGGACGTATCCTCATTCTAGAGGGCATCGAAAAAGCTGAAAGAAATGTTTTACCAGTGTTGAATAATCTCTTAGAAAATAGAGAAATGAACCTGGAAGATGGGAGATTATTGATACCAGCTTCTAGATACGATAAACTTCTGGAAGTATGTTCATTTCAATATCCTGTATGAGTAAATGATGAATTCATATCATATCAAATTATAGGAACATGGAGAAGAAGAATTAACCAAATGGAGACTCGTCAGGGTTGATGATAATTTTAGAGTAATAGCACTAGGTTTGCCAGTACCAAGGTAACACCAGTTCGGTATAGTTTTTTCAGCAATAATAATTTATTATTCTCCAGATATCGAGGGAATCCATTAGATCCGCCATTGAGGTCTAGATTTCAAGCGAGAGACGTCAGTATTAATACATATCAGGTGAGATTTCAACAATATCAATTTTATTAATTAAATGCAATGCTCAAAGTGGAATGGAATGTTGAATAAATACAAAAAACTGAAAGTCATATCCCCACAATGTTCATAAAATGAACAACAATGGTAGATTTCGAGAGAAGAACAACTTTTTTTACTGGCTAATGCCACTCAGAACATTGAATTACATCCTCCCGAAATCTATACATCGACTCGTACAAACGAATACTGAAACAAAGTCATTCTTTCCTGAATGCCTATTGATTTCGATTAAGCCAGGCCACGCTAGACACCTACAGACCGGTTTCAAGCTCTTTGACTCTCATCAGTGCAGGGCAGTCTCCAGCCAGCAGTCCTAAGACTGCCGACTAAGCGTAGCCTAGCCAAACTGCTGGCTGGAGACAGCCCTGCACTGATGAGAGTCAAAGAGCTCGAAACCGGTCTGTAGGTGTCTAGCGTGGCCTGGCTAAATCGAAATCAATATGCATTTAGAAAAGAATCACTTGTATCAGTATTCGTTTATATCATTTTGTGATTATTGTGTGGATATGACTTTGAGCTTTTTGTATTCATTCAATGATGAATGTGTTATTGGAAATATGCATTATTGTTTTTCAATGTCACCCTGTATATACAAAAGCTTTGATTTTTCAATCTCATAAATTGCTTTCTCTCTAGATTATAATCTTTCCTATTACGTCTTGCCTCAATTCAATCCAATTTAACGGAGTTTCTGTTGAATGTGTTTTGTAAAAGCAATTCACACGAGAAGTCCCAATGATGACTTTATTGCTACAACCCATGCGATCTTTGCATATATGTTAGCTTTTGGCAATATTGCGAAAGGAGAGCTCTCGACAATAACAAGAGAATTATAATTGTTATGAGATTTGTTCCTAACCAAATTTCGTGTCAAACCCCACCACGATATTTTTTTTATATTCAATCCATAGAGGCAATTTTTTCAATTAAGTTTTATGACCTATACAATATATTCGTTTCTTTGGATACGAGACAACAATTTTTCTTAGTTCAACTTGTTGAAATCTTACTATCAAAAATGTATCTAGCCTAGCACAGCTAGCACCTATCACATGAATATCCATTGTTATTCTGTGCAATACCTTGCTATCAGACTCATCAATGAATCATTTTTTCACGCTGGTGAAGTTTGGTTGGCTAATTATGGACACCCTGTGTAAATATTAACCAAATCCATACTCTCGACGATACCAAGACAGTCAAAAGTAGGTTCTATAAGATATACATTCAAAGAAACACAAGTTTATCGATTCAAACTCTTCTGTTATTCATGAACTTTTTCAACGAACTATGGCTCAATTTGCTGCTCAAAATGCTGCTTTCACAATCGCTAAACTTCTTCGGCAACTCCGGCATAAAAATGTGCAGCTGTCTCTTCACCCCCAGCTCCTTGAACTCACACTCCTCCATGAAATATTCCGAAGACAAATTCTCCTCGACAGAAGACACGACCAGCTCCCGTTTATTCTCAACATCGCTGTCCACTGGTTCGTCCTCGAAATGGCATGAAGTATCTGCATCAGTAGGGTTGGTGGGGTTAAGGATTCGTTTGCTTCGAGATACCCCTTCGACTTGGAGGGAGGTCGTCACAGGTCCTAGCATATCGATATCGGAAAAGGAATGGCAGTTATGAGCATAGAAAACCTTTTGTCTCCTTTTGGCGGTCGCTGGGGCTGTCAGCAGTCTCAGCGGTATTATTTTTTCCTTGCCCACACGATTATTGTCACTCTGGGTAGCTAGGTCTAACCAAATCAGGACCCTTTCGCTCAGTGACTCATCCAGGGTATCGAAAAAGCTGTTGTAGGTGGCGAACTGCGAGATATTCTCTCCAACCAAATGGTTCTCCATCAGGTATTTGGAGCCCCCGAATTCGATACTGGTTGATTTGATGGCTAGTCCTAATTTGTCTTGCTTCAACTCTTCTTGTACACTGAAAGACACCTGCCTTCTGACTGTTTTAACGCTCCCGCTGTGGTTTTGTTCATCCACGCTAGTCTTGCAGCGTCTTCCAGAGTTCCCTAGCAGTCCAACCGAGGATATGTTCAAACCATCTGCCTTAGTTGGACATTTTGCTCCTCCTGCTGATCTAGTAACCTTCCCATCGCTGCAATGAGTCAAACGTAGGTCCTATAAGATACATTCAAAGAAAAACAAATTCATAGAACATCAAAAAATACCAAGTTCATCGATTCAAACTTTGCTGTTATTCATTAACTTTTTCAAAGAACTGTGGCTCAGTTTGCTGCTGAAAATGCTGCTTTCACAATCGCTGAACTTCTTCGGCAATTCCGGCATGAAAATGTGCAGCTGTCTTTTCACCCCCAGCTCCTTGAACTCACACTCCTCCATGAAATATTCCGAAGACAAATTCTCCTCGATCGAAGATACGACCAGCTCCCGCTTGTTCTCCACATCGCTGTCCACTGATTCTTCCTCTAAATGGCATGAAGTATCAGCATCAGTAGGGTTGGTGGGGTTAGGGATTCGTTTGCTTCGAGATACCCCTTCGATTTGGAGGGAGGTCGTCACAGGTCCTAGCACATCGATATCGGAAAAGGAAAGACAGTTATGAGCGGAGAAAACCTTTTGCCTCCTTTTGGCAGTCGCTGGGGCTGTCAGCAGTCTCAGTGGTATTATTTTTTCTTTATTCACACGATTATTGCCACTCTGGGTAGCTAGGTCTAACCAAACCAGGACCCTTTCGCTCAGTGACTCATCCAGGGTATCGAAAAAGCTGTTGTAGGTGACGAACTGCGAGATATTCTCACCAACCAAATGGTTTTCCATCAGGTTTTTGGAGCCCCCGAATTCGATACTGGTTGATTTGATGGCTAGTCCTAATTTGTCTTGCTTCAACTCTTCTTGTACACTGAAAGACACCTGCCTCCTGACTGTTTTAACGCTCCCGCTGTGGTTTTGTTCATCCACGCTAGTCTTGCAGCGTCTTCCAGAGTTCCCTAGCAATCCAACCGAGGATATGTTCAAACCATCTGACTTAGTTGGACCTTTTGCTGCTCCTGCGGATCTGGTCACCTTCCCATCGCTTCTATAAGACTTCGGAGTGACAGACCTTCGCAAACTCCTTTCCTCGGCGTGTAGGATCACGTGGTGCTGACCTTCCAGCCAAACGGTCTTCACATACAAAGGTCTTTTACTCGATTCCCAGTGCGTAACCATGGCTTCACAAGGAAAAGTATCTCCTCAACGACAAAACATAGTTCGCCCGGAGTATGCTGTGACACTTTTCGATTGTTTGTCGGCACGCGATTCGCGATTGTTTCCGCAGGGACAGGTACGGAGACCGTCCGTCCGTCTTCCAGGACGTTTGCCCCGGAAATAAAGAGAAAGACACAGGAAACGATGACAAAGGACGAAGGCATAGTTGTAGATTGCGGCGGAATCGCATGACATTGCGGCGATATGCTTGATTGGGGGGTAGACTGAAAAATGTCACCATAGTGATCTATCCTGAGGTCGTAGGTTTTGGACCGTTTGTGATGTAACGTTTGATAATTTATTATTGTTTCATTGGATACTTATTTCGATACAACTCATGTTTTTTCTTGGGTTATTTAACATTTTCTAAAAAGAAATTCATGAGAGACAAGTTCTTTAGATTAGTCATTCAATTTCAAAGTTTCAAATGACCTCAACTCTGAAGTTTTCCGTATATTTCTATGAATTTTTCATTCTGGAAGCGATTCTGATTACTATCACACCAGATCTATAAGGCACATATCCGACCTGTCCTGAAATACTGTTCCTATATTTGGAGCGCAGCACCCAAACAAACCCTGAAACTGTTGGATTCTGTCCAAAAAAGGACAATACGTCTCATGGGTGATGCCTCGCTCACAGACTCACTCCCTTCTCTGGAACACCGTAGAAAAGTTGGCGATCTGGCTCTATTTTATACATATTTTCATGGACGATGCTCTTCTGTTCCTCCCTTGACAGTCCCCGCGAGATTAATCTGTCGAGTTGAGGTTTCGCACCCCTTCGTGCTTTGGATATCTGCAGAACATCTCTTTCCAAAGGATCTGGAACACATTGCCAAGGGAGGTGTTCCCCGAGGCATATAACCTCCAGAAATTTAAGAAGAACACCAATTCTACCTTATTTCCCTTGGTTCTCACGATGTTCTCTGAACATGACAGGATATTTTTTTATTATATGTCTTCACCTAGGTCCGTTCTTTGGAAAAATATGAAAAATAAACTGTTTTATCGACCGAAATTTAAGCAGTGTCTGACACAAAAATATTCAACTCTTCAAAATGTAGCTTTGTCTACCAACCCTTCAATTTATGGTATTGTGGCTATTGAATCATCTTGTACAATTATAGTTACCTATATCTATTACGAGTGGCTGGTGATCCCATTATAAAGCGATTAATTTCTTTTGAATTCAACTTTTTTCAAATTTCATTTCATTATGTTTTGTTTTGTATCGATAAATTTCCATTCCTAACGAAACATATTCGCCAATCAATAATTTTGTCTTATCAGTTTTTCGAGAGATATTACTGATGAAAATTTTTTTGAGTTGATAAAGAAATGTATCCAATTGAAAACAAAGTTCTATTATTTTTTGGTAATATAAATCAACGGCAATATACAAATGAACAACAATAATAATTACCTTCATTGATGATTTCGTGTTTTGTTGTAGTATGCGGTATTGATCTTTTTATATTTTTTGTGGTTTCTCCAGATGAAATTCTTCTAAATCGGCTCATCTTGCCAATTTACGCGTGAACCATACCCATCAATCAAACTTGACACGACAGAAATTGGGGTGACATAAGACGCAAATAGCTACTAGATTCAGTGGTTCCCAACCTTTTTCCAATCATGACCCCTTTTGGATCAGCTCAAGAGGTTGCGACCCCCAATTGAAAATATTGACATCTCCTTATTGAATATAAAAAAAACAATTTGATAGCATTCATATTATTTATT